CAAGCTCTACACTCCGTCGACGAAGAAGGACGAGAAGGCTCCAGGGAAGGACACCCTCAAGATTCGCTGTAATGGACATGATGGCCAGAGAAGCGCAGCAGGGAGTCAACATTCGACACCAGCGCAGTATCCACATGGCAGCGTAGTAGGAGTAGCCAGTGTCCTTCTTCTACTGCAGCAAGCTCTGGCGGCAGCTTCCGACCCCGACCTCAAGAGGAGCCTCAAGACGCAGGTCGCCAAGCTGAGGCAGTCGAGCACTTCAGCAGGCATCTTTCTTCAAGCCCTTCAGAAGGCGGACGGGACCCTTCGAGACGTTACCAACCGACATGACCGGGCAGTGCAGGCAGCCACTAGGCTGCAGAAGAATCTGGAGGCCGCCCAGGCCAAGGAGCAGAAGCTAGCCTTGGAGGTGGCGGGGGCGGAGATGAACCGTAAGCAGGCAGCGGCGGCGTTGGCGTCCATGGAGGGTATCACCGGCACTGCGAGTGGCAAGAAGCATCGGCAGTCTCAGAAGCAGCCACTCGGCCTGCACTGGAAGGAACGCTCCGCCACTCCCGGCGGCCCCGGTGGAGGCGGTGCCGCCGAGCTCGAGCTGCAGAGAGGCTCCACCCGCAGCTGGTCGGCGCTCCGGGGACGTCCGACGGCAGGGCCAACCCCCGCCCCCCACGCATCGGCGTGGATATCTCGGGAGCGGCCAAGAGGGGGGCGTCCAAGAGGGGGGGGTGCAAATCATGACCGGCGGCACGTGCGCGGCCCAGCAGGGGGGCCAGGGACGTAATGAAATGAGAAGAGGCGCCGCAAAATCTGGGGAAATATCACGGCCCCCGCCATGCTATCCACCCCCCCCCTCCTAGTCATCACCCCCCTCTTTTCCGCCCCCGGATATCGAGCAGGCTCGCGGGGTCCGGAGCGGGATCCGGGACGGGGAGGAGGAGGAGGAGGAGGAGGAGGAGGAGGAGGAGGAGGAGGAGGAGGAGGGTGAGGGTGAGGGCAGTAGGGAACGCGCCAGTCGTGCCGACGCGCCCCGCCCGCGGCGCCCGCGCCCCCCGCTCAGCGGTCGCCGCCCTCGGCGGCCCGCGGAGCTTGAGGCAGGCTCAGCGCGGCGGCGTCGGCCCGCGCCCGCTTGGCTGGCGGTCCGCCTGCGGGCTCCCAGCGGGTGGCCGACGGCGGCCAGCTGCAGGGGCGGGGGCCACGGCCCGCGGGCGCAGCAGCCGCCGCACGGCGCTGCCGCTTCGCCTCCTGGCCGAACTCGTCCTCCATGACGGCGCCGCTGCGGCCGCGAGCAGCTCGAAGAAGGAAAGCGACCTTGTCGCTGAGGCTCGCATCCGCAGGAAGACCACGGGGAGGCGAGGACGGCTCCGCGCCCGTGGCGCTCCTCGCCTCCCTTTCACACTCTCCTGTCCCGCAATTTATCACAGGGTGCGGGCAACTGTCTGACCCAGCCGAAGGACCTGGGGGTGCCGCTCCCAGCGGGACTGGCTCCCCCAGGTCTGCCGCCCCGAGGACCGAGTCGTCCAGCGCGTCTCCGATCGCGTCGTCCCGTGCGGAGTGGGCCTCCACACAGGTGGCGTCGCCCAGCACCTCGCACCCCATCACAGTGTCGGCGAGGGCCTTTGGCGAGAGCCGCTTCGGGATCAGCGGTTCGCACGGAGCTAGGCCGATCTCCCTCACGGATCGACCCGCAGCACCAGCGCCTTCACGCATCTCCTCCCCGATCGTGTCGTCCAGCTCGTGGTGACCCACCTCGTCCAGCGAGGAGGAGGGAGGAGGAGGAGGAGGAGGGAGGAGGAGGAGGAGGAGGGAGGAGGGAGGAGGAAAGAGGGAGGAGGAGACGGGGAGCGGGAGCCGGGCCGGGCTCGCCCAGCAGCGGAGGGCGCCAAGCGCCGACGGCGGCGAGAGCCACGGGCGGCGGCCGAGCGCGGGCGGCGAGAGCCACGGGCGCGCCAGGCGGCGCGGCGGGCAGCCAGGCGCCGAAGGGGCTCCCGCGGCGCCCGAGGGCCGCCGGCAGCGAGGCCGCGCGGGGCCGCGCGGGGCGGTGCTCGCCGCCGAGGCCGCCGAGGACTCCCAGGCCAAGGTCGGCGCACGGCGCAGGGAGGTCGACGAGGCCATCGGCGTCGAGGGCAGGGACTTGGACGCTGTTGGGCAGGCGGCCCTCTGTCTCGAATGGACACAGGCCGCGGCGGCGTGGACAGCGAGTCCTGTTCAAAATGAACTAGATCCGCTGTTGGGCATTGTGCCCATTCTTTCCGTGCCCATTTCGGGCGTCCAGAAGGGACCTGCGGCTGGGCAGTCAGGTGTCAGGCGGGGGCGGAACTTCGGTCGAGAGGCACGTCGGTGCCAGCGCTCGTTGTCCAATCGCTGTTGCTTCTGTGAGGCCAGCGCCCAGCAGTAATACCGCAGCTGCTCCAGGGAAGGAGGTGCGTTTCGGGTCGTCTCGCGAGCGCCCGGGGGCACATGATGTGACTCAGATCTTGTATGGCAGTATCACTGCCGTGAGTGACAAGGTATGGCGATTCATTCTGCAGGCGCGCGCGAGGCGTGCGTGCGATCATGTGTGATTCGTCGAGACTCCTGTTTCACGTTCTTCCTTGGACCAATAGCTTCCCAAGGCGCGCAAATCGACCTTTGAAGGCTGTCGCCAATCCCGCCGGTACAACGGGGAGGGCGTGCACGCTGGCGGGAGCCGGGCGAGCGACGGAAGGTGGGGAGCGGATGCTGTCCTGCTCACTCTTTTGAAGGGGCCCCAGGGCATACAAATAAATACACACAAATAAAAATATTCCCCAGATTTTCCTATATTTTCTCCGTTTTTTTGTCTTCCCGCCCAATTCCCATATTTTCCCATATTTTCTGGGGGATC